GACATCCAAATATTACACATAGTAGGTATTACACCAAAAAATTAAAAAATGAAATACAAAAACAAAAAACTCGACTACGTAAATTGCCAACTATAAAGATAGAAACATGATAACACTGATGAAATTAATAAAATGAATAAATTTTAAATTTATTCAACTTAAGTTTTTTTAAGTCTAACTTAAACGAACACTTTTGAATCGTCAATTAAATTTGAAAAGAGTCAGTCTGTGAGGAAGTTACCACCGGTTTGAAACGCAGTTCTGCTGCTGAGATCCGGTAAGAAACTCAATAGTTGAAACAAAATGATACATGCATAGACATACATACATACATACATACAGGTCAAACACATAACCCTTCTTTTGGGCTTCGCCAAAGTCGGGTGAAAATAAACGAATTGAGAACGTCCTCTCTTTTGATGTCGGTCGATCAAAAAAACTGGCTTGTTAAATTCCAATTATGGTAAATAAATTCGACCATCTTTTACGAGATTCGTAAATGTAAGCAAAAATAATAAACAATAGAATCTTTGTATGAATGTTCTCACACTCCACAATCAGAAATTCATAATTATTATTACCTTAAAAGCAAAATTTTTACAAAATAATATTTAAATACTTATTTTAAGAAATATTCGCGTGGTAATAATAGATAGTGTTTTTCTATAAAACAATCTTACTACTATATAAATGCGAAGATTCAAAGGATGAATGTTCGTTATTCAATCATGCCAGAACGGCTGAACGGATCTGGATGAAATTTGGCACAGAGATAGGTCTGGAAGAGCATATAAGTTACTTTTATCCCGAAAAAATGTACGATTTTTGTGGGATAGATTTGTTTTTGTTTTTCATCGAATCATATCAAATTTCGAAATTCAAGTTTTTGCTATTGAAGTTGAACATAGATTACTTCGCCAATGTTTCGTGATTGGAGACACCAGGGAAGAACAATTCTTCCACTCTCCCACCCACGTTTACGAAGTTTGAAGGCTGTAGAAGTTGATGGGCTGTAGCGCTATCTAGAGTCAAAGTAAAATGAATAGCATAAAAATCTTCCACTTCAGAATGTATTTAAATTTAATTGTACATATATTAGGACTACTGATACAAATAATATATTTGCAATATTGATGAATGTTAATTTTGTCGTGAGTTTTTGTTTTAAATTACATATTTTGTTATTTTTATGATAAAACTATCTAATCTTAAAAAAACTGTAAATACTTATAGTATTTAACATTCTTCAGAGTTACTACAAAAACGCTTATAAAGTTTTAGCCATTCACTAAACGCTTTATTGCCATATTATATTTTAGTACGATATTAAATCTCTAATAAAGAGATTATTACACTCATAAATAAAAAAATGCTAAGTATATTTAAAGAGTACTTTATTTTCTTATTATGAGCGAAATAATTTTTAATCTATAGTGACACTCCACTCAGGCTTATTCAGCAATGTTCCATTAAGACGGGGAGGTTCCATGGATTTTAGTGGGTAGTACTGGTTCTTCTAGCTGGTGAATCCCACATAATCTGTATGTATGTAAGTGAACTCTAAATGAACTATAACAAAATATATATAAAAAAGGTATAATAATCAAGGGCGCAGGTTCGATTAATGTAAGATTATTTAATGGAAGAGAGAGAGAGAATTTGAAAAAATTGGGAGTTGATATGAAACACAATATTTAAAAGTGAGGCATTTTTATATTTTTTACCCTTTAAAAAAAAGATTTTAATAGAAAAAAAAAAGAAGAAAAAAAATATTTTAAAAGATTTTTATTTTAACCAGAATCTTTTAAAAGATTTTTTAGTAAATCTATTAGGATACTAATATATAAAAAGGCAAAGACAAAATAGTTCATACTATTTATTTCTCCTCTGATCGTTAACCGAGTTTGTGTGTAAGTTATTATGGAAAGAGTTATTTTTTATATGTATAACAAGCATTGCCCGCGGCTCCGCCCGCATTCACATGACCAAAACCAAATTCTTAGGTTTTATTTATTAGTATACTCGTATTAGTATATTAGTCGACCCGGATAACCAGCTATTACCATACCAAATTTCTTCAAAATCCCTCCAGTGATTGTTCTGTGATGCGGTAACAGACAGACAGACAGACAAAAATTCTAAAAACTATAGATTCGGCCTCTGTATCGATAATAATGTCTATTTCAATAAGATTTTCTAAAAAATATTTAATGTGACTTAGTTAGAATTTTATTATGTATAGATATATATGTAAATTCTTTTCATATAGGTACATTTGTTTGCCTCAAATTTTCAAAATTGATTATGATTAAGCTTCTAGAACTAGTTATAATAAACAAATTAAAATTCAATTTTTATGTAAGTATATAATGAATATTATACTTTAAAGGATACGTGACAATGACACAGATGCTTATAACCTTGCTCTTTGCTTCATTGGTACGTGCGAAACATTAAGCTATTCCTTAATTAGATGCAATGTCTAGTAACTAAGGACCCATGTAACTAAAGTATGACGCCATCTTTATAATAAACTAACACACTACCCCGGTTTCGTCGGTGTTCTTAATTTTTAATTTTTCACTCGAAAATATTGTTTCTTGTACAAACTTTTCCCTTTTCGCCACTTTAGGGGTTAGATTTCAAGAAACCAGTAACTGTTATAATGAAATATGAATCATTATAACTTTATTGTATACCACAAGCTAAAAGAAAAATAGTAAATAAATCACATCTATATTTAATATTATAAAGAGGTAAAGTTTGTGAGTTTATGACGTTGTAGGGGGTAACTTCTAAATCTACTGAACCGATTTAGATGAGATTTGGTAAGAATATAGTTTGAGGCCCTAGGAAGGACATAGGATACTTTTTATTCCGGGAATCATCCCTTAAGGGGGTGAAAATGGGGATGAAAGTTGGTATTGGGAAGCAAGCTAGGGACGAACCCGAGCGAAGCGAGAGTGAGTCGCTAGTATGTATATAAAAAAGTTGTACAAAATGTTTTTAGAATATCATTTCTATCATCACACCCTTAGTATTACGGAAATTGTGGAAGGTAATGGAATAAATATGCCTTTTTTATAATAAAATATATAACATTAATATAATAATGAAAATTTTAGGCAAAATATATAACTAAAGTAAGCAGTAGCAAAACTTGGGACTTCGTCTGCGTTGAACGAAAGAAAAACATGTCAAATTCTAAAATAAGACTATATCTACTAAAAATTCATAGAAATAATTAGTAGTATATGTTGTAGTATATTTTTGTGTGAGCCATTCATCAATCAGAAACATTTTTATATGGCTTCATGTAAGTTCTGATATAAAGTAGATCTTAATGCCTTAGTTTTGCAACGCGTGTACCAACTGCAGAGGCATTTCTCAACTAACAAATGTCGGGGCAAGAAGCGTATTAACAAATATTTATATCATGTTAATAACACGAGAATGTCCTAGTGAAAGGCATAGAATTTTAGAACATCTTACTTTGCACTACTTATAAGGAAATATTTTTGTTTATCTGTATGTACGGGATAATATCTGGAACTCTCGATTTGATTCTAAATATTTAACTATTAGAAAGCTTCCCATTTATACCCCACTCCATCATTAAGTGTGATTTTTTACCTATAATTAATATTTAAATACCATTAACCAACCTTTTTATTAAAAAAAACTAAACAATATTTGTTTAAAAAAAAACTTATCCACGTTTACCGGTTTTCTGTCTCTGCTACCAAATTCTCATTGTTGAATGTAATGAACCTCTTACATCTCATTAAAACAAAAAAAAAATTGGTATTTAAAGAATTGACTATTTCAGATTTTTTTAATGAGTTTCATTATTAACCTTATGACTTCATCATCAGATTAGCCCATTGGTACGAAATCATTCTACAGCGCCCAAGTTAATATGTAATTATGTATACATATTACATACATATGTATGTGCAACCTGATACAATAATATCTGTATAATAAATATTATAAATGTGACAGTTTGTGAGTATGTATGTTTGTTACTCTTTCACGCCAGAACGGCTGAACGGATCTGGATGAAATTTGGCACAGAGATAGATTATAGTCTGGAATAGCACATAGGCTACTTTTTATCCCGGAAAAATATACGATTTCCGAGGGATAGATTTGTTTTTGTTTTTCTAGTAAATAATAATTATATCTAAGTACATTGAATTTATCTTTCTTGATAGTTTACTCGTGTGCAACTAACAAAGTAAAGAGGTATACTTTGTTTCCAATTAAGAAAATAAAACCCTGTTTAATCATCTGCTTGCTTATTTCCTTTCTTTCCTCGTAACGTTATGATGAAGTTCATTAGTAATTCATAACTAATCTATTCCAAATACGATTAAAGTTAGCTAATATCCCACAGAAACACATGACCGGTGTAAAAAATATCATTAGTGTTAATCCAGTATGTATCCATTTTCATTCAAATTAACTCAACGGTGTACGCAAGATTCAGCAACAAATTTCCCAACTACTTCACATACTTTTACATTTATAATAAAGTAGAATAGTTGATGTGGTATGGGTATATGGCCCCAACATTTGATATGACGATATGTACATAAATCTGACTAGCGACTCACCCTCGCTTCGTTCGTGTTCGTCCCTAGCTTGCTTCCCAATACAAACATTCATCCCGATTTTCACCCCCTTAAGGGATGATTTCCAGGATAAAAATTTTTCATGTCCTTCCCAGGGACTTAAAGTATCTGCTTACCAAATTTAATCTAAATCGGTTCAATAGATCTAGAGATTACCCCCTACAAGGTCACAAACTCATAAATTCACAAATTCACAAACTTTACCTTTTTATAATATTAGTATAGAGTTTCCGGCTATAACGCTAGAAATCAGGAATTCGATTCCTGTTCGGCACAAATGGCAATAATCATACAAACATTTTGCTCTTCTCTTCTCATATTGTTTTAATATTATTTTTATATTCATGTTTCTTTTACTTACAGTGAGGAACGGAAAAAGGCGAGAAGGCTATGCATAACTGCTAAAGAGGACCACATATGTCGTGGATGTGGCGGCGACAAGTTTGGCGGCGTGGTTCCCTGCATCTGTGAAAAGTACAAGTAAATAAAAATACATTTATAATGCTAAGAGTAATTTCATGCTCTATTCTCCTGTAGTAAGTGGAATAGTAAGTGGAAAAACATAGTTATAATAATTTTTTACCTCAGTCAATCTAAAAAAAATAATCATAGTTAATCCATACATATAATAAAATTGTAACTAAGCAGAATCTGTGACATTAAATATTTTTTTGAAAATCTTATTGAAATAAACATTATTATCGATACAGAGGCCGAATCTATAGTTTTTAGAATTTTTGTCTGTCTGTCTGTCTGTTGCCACATCACAGAAAAACCACTGTAGGGATTTTGATGAAATTTGGTATGGTGATAGCTGGTTATCAGGGTCAACATATAGGATACTTTTAACCGCGGGAAAATGTCTCATTTCTGAGAAAATATACAAAAACTGAAATGTAAGAGTATACTAATATGTAAAACCTAAGAATTTGGTTTTTGATTATCTGTACGCGGGCGGAGCCGCTGGCAATACTAGTCTTCTATATAAATAAAAATGAATGTTCGTATGTTTGTCCCCTATGCATTCCTAAATCATTGATCCGATTTTGATAAAACTCCGGTGAGTTATTCTTTTTAAGCCTGCAAAGGTTCCTAGCTCAAATATAATAAGTTTTTTGGACATTTATCTTTTACGTGTTGATAAACCATTCAAGCTATATATCCCAAGTAAAGCGGGGGTAAGTCGGTAGTATATATAATAATAATACACTAGTAGAAACTTCCCCCTAAAAAGGTGGTTAATATACAAGAACTAGCTGAACCCGCGACTTCGCCCGCGTTCAAACTACAAAAAAAAATCAAACTCTTTGGAATTATGTTATACTGATAATTTGATTTCTGTAGTGATTTTCATATGTGTGAGTATTATTCACATTTGACTCGCGCATCGAGGGTTCCGCACCGCCGAATATTGTGTTGTTTTTACTAACATATTCACACACTAAACTACCGTTTTTTACGTTTTCACAATACATACTTAAAAATCCCAAAAAATAAGTTCGTGTTTCACATTATTTTGGAAAAATATATAATTTTAGCGTATTGTGTAAAATATAAATTTAACGTATACCAAGTCTGTAAATAAAAATTCTTTAAAGTATTTAGCAAACTCCACTCCTCTATTTTGTGCACATTTTTCTAATTCATATTTCCAAAATTAGAGGAAGAAAGTCCAATGATATAACTCGCATACAAGTTTTATGACTTTGGAATCATACACCTCGGCTAATATTGCCTATTAAACTAACACGCTTACATTGCATGACACGTGTCTATATTATTTTTTTTATTTAATTTTTTATTTTACCCATAACACCTGAAACTTGCAGTCCCTCCCTTCTTTTTTAAGTTACATATATAAAGTGTCATTTTTATTAGTTATAGCTTTCTGCCCGCGGCTACGCTCGCGTGGACTAAAACCCAGTTTTAATTTCCATTGGATTTATATGTTGACATATAGAATTTGTAATAGTATATGTACATTTATGTAATCACTCTAGATTCAATTAACTTAACTTAAAAATGATGGATACATAGAACATACATAAGTATGTTTTATGTTTTATTTTATGGCTTTATACCACTTTCTGTGCCTATATTTCACATAAAAAATTACAGTGTTTCATACTAATTTTTCACCTCTAATTTACCCTCCTACGGAATGAATCACAAAAAATTATAAAACAAAGAGCCTTTATATCACTTTATATGCGTGTAGCTGAAGCTGCGGGGACAATATTATGTTATATATAATGAAAGTTTAGATTTGTATGTATTTTTAATGCCGAATCATAAAAAAATAAAAACATAATTTTTTGTCCATAAAATAAATTTTTTTTTTGGGGTGGACCAACCTTACCACTTAGGGGTATGAAAAATATTTTACGTCCTATTCTCATACCTACTGAATATACACACAAAATTTCATAAGAATCGGTCAAGCCGTTTTGGAGGAGTTTTGTGACACGAGAATTGTATATATTAGATTTACAATATTATAAAACTTCCAACGAGCCAAAATTTTATAAATAAAACGAATATATAATCTAAGCCCTACTACTAATGCTGCCAGCATTGTTCAAAATTATTTCTGTAGTTTTTGTCACGTTATAAGTTATGACACGAAAGAGTGCAAAAATTTATAATATTTTTAAATATTTTTTTAAAATTTGCAAAACATTAAACTTTGTTTAATATTAGACTTACGGGTACTTATTATAGAGAGGTGCCTTACAATAGCTTAACTCAAGCTATTTAAATTAAATTATAATAATAAAAATTATTAATAATAAAACACATCTAAATAAATAAACTTTAAAATTATTTATTTGATAAACATAATTAACTAAAGAATAATATTTAATAGTATAATAAAAACCCTGCCCTCTATAAATTTCTCTTCACCTAAGCCGATAAAGTAACTGAACGGCCATTTTTTTCGCCATAAAGTTATTATGATTTCTGACAGTAAACACCTTTTTATTAGAATAAAAAAAATAACTTCGTATTAGTGAAAGAATTTTCAGAATTGAATTAATAGTTTCAGAGATTACATACAAACAAACTTACAGACTTTACATCTTTATAATATTAAAGTAGAAAAAACATTAGTTGTATGAAATGTTAAATTTAACATTTTATTTCATTATACTTACTCGTATCGACTTAATTCATTGAATCTTTATATTCTTAAACTAGCGACTCACCGGTTTTAACGGTTAGTATATGTACTTAGATTTCTCAGAGATAAGATATTTTCCTGGATTAAAAAGAATCCTATATGTTGACCTGGACAAACAGCTATCACCATACAAAATTTCATTAAAAACCGTCCAGTGGTTTTCTCCTAATGCGTTCCCAGACAGACAGAGAAAAATTCTAAAAACTATAGATTCGACCTCTGTATCGATAATAATGTCTATTTCAATAAGATTTTCCAAAAAATATTTAATGTACAGATTTGACTTAGTTAGATTTTTATTATATGTATAGTTTACAAAGTCTTTTATAGTAGATAATATAAAACCTTTACAATGCTATGTACTTGTATTGCCCACATATCGTAATAATTACAGTCATATCTTGGAATTTTGTACAGGTCAGAATAAAAAATATATCTAAAATAGGCATAATAAGAAAAACAGTTCACTGTTCAGTCATTTCTTGTGTGTCAATCGAACATCCCTTTTTAACATCCCACTACTGGGCACAGTCCTCCCTTCAATACGAGGGGTATCAGGTCATAGTCCACCACTTCACCACCTGGTGGCGCCAAGTGCGGGTTGGCGGACTAGTCCGCCATTCATATATACGAGTTTATCCCTCTTTTCAATAATGAATAAAGTCGTATTTCGACCTAGCGACCCCTAATAATATATAATAACGTTATACTAATAAATTATTTTGCTATAACTTTCTTTATAGGCGCTTCGCAAAAATAAAAGAACCAAGCTGGAATTCAACAATATCTTGAAATAAAATTTGTTTTTATAAATTAAATTAACTAATTGTAACATTTTTTTTGTTTTCAGTCCTGTTAAATTTGAATCAGGCGCGTGGTTCTTGAAAAAAGTGCAACAAGCGCTCAGCCTTATGCCGTGGTCATTCAATACAGATAAATTAGAACAAATTGGTAAGTTTTACTTGTTATATTTCTTTGGGTCAACTATTATAACTGTGTATGTTTGCATGTGTACGTTAGTCCTACATTCTGAAAGAGCTAGACGGCCTTTTTTGTCCTGGTTTTGTAGAGACTCACTAGAAAACCAATATATACCAATATATACTACCCAATGAATCCAAACGTAAAGATTCCCTTCATAATAGTAGGTTTCGAAAAGGATTAAATATTTTTTTCGAAACGCTTCCTTCTAAGAACTGGCAACCCAGAAAAGATCTGACTTCTTTTTTTAAATTATAAATGGAAAAACTATTTTGGTATAACTGATTCATTATCTATATATAAATAGGCAATGACAAAACAATTTGGTCACTTTTTCTCAAATGTTTGTAAACCGATTTTATGTTATCAATAAAAAATAATTATTATGGTCGATTGTCGACCACTGAGCGAATACTAGTATAAAGAATTATAGAAACTATCTAAATTTGAGTACCGCCTTTCAGAAAATCGGTCAAACATGAAATTAAACATGCAACTTGACCCTTTCAGAGTTTTTATTAATATGATTGTTTATATTATTATATTAGAACAATAGGAGATATGAAAATATTTCATTAATTATATATTTCAGATGAAGAAGAATGTGACGCGCCTAGCTCGAGTGAAGGTCGCGGAGATTTGCACAATGTCAGAGAGTTCCTGGAAGCGATATCTGCTCGTCTCGCGGGGGGTCCTCTCGAGGGCACCAGAGTCGCACCGCTGTATGACCATCCAGCCTGTGAGTAAATCTAATTTTACTTACCTAAAATTTTACTATTAAGTATCTTGTAAATGTAAAGGACAATATATTTTAAAACATAATATATGACACATATACTAAAAGCACTGAATCATTGCAACATTACATTCGCAAAGAAAAACATCGCTCATTTTTTGGCGATATTGAACAACATTATAATATTATATTGTTGAGCAAAACATACTCGTTTTTATGCACATTTGTACCTTAACTCATTAGCGATGATATTGATAAGTGGAAAAATATTTACATTAGCATCCACTACGTGTAATACAAACACAATACAAAGGTATATTTTGTTCTCATTTCCTCACTCTCTTATTTCTGGCATTTCAAATTGCCTCACAAATTTTATTTTATGAATTAAAAGATAGATATTTAAAATTTATGAAGTCGTAAAATTGATATCCCACAAAAAACATTTTCATCTAAAATGTTGCTAAGACGAGACCATATATTCGTAGCTCGCACTTTCAAAAAGTTATCAGATCTCATGTACAACAAAGCTTTTAACTCTACACGCTCTAACTCTACAAACCCAGATAACAGAACTTAAAAAAGCTTTTATACACAATCTCCTGTAAAGCGACAAAACATGAGTAACGATGCTTTTCTTTGCAAGTATCAACTTACTTTTTCTTACATATATCGCATTGTTGCATTTAAACAATTAAAATTGTGAAAATGAACTACATATCAGAAATCATACAAAATATTTTTCCACTCAGCCAAGACATCAATCATTGTAAATATTCCTTTATCTAACATACGTATTCGACTTAAATAGTTCAAAACAATTACATATATGATATAGATGTTAGCATGTTCGAGCGACACCACGTGCTGCTACGCGATACACTCGCGGCGCTATCCACCGCGCTTCGGGACGCGCTAAAACGTAAGATAGCAGTTAGCACACACTGTTGCACTGGCTTTAAATGCACTATTATTTACATTGCATGCTTAACGTATATTATTTACACATACATATAAAGGAGTTGACGATATTTTTAATATTTATCTGCACGTGGTTATGATGCATTTTCAATATTTTTGATGAAAATGTACACTTAAATGTTTTTGGTTTTTAGCACTCAATTTTAATTTTATTCGTAGCGTAATTATATATTACAGCATTATTAATATGTAGGTATTACTTTTTGGGATTAAAAATAAAATATTTAATTTTAATATCAATAGCAATATTGTGCATCATAAATATTGCTTTATTATTCGTGTAGGAGTAACAAAGCTCTTTAGATTGTTATTTTGAATAAATGATTTCGTACCTTTTATATTTCAAAGCCCAACTCCTGTTATATAAAGAAATAACAAATACTGTTCGTGGGATTTTGATTAAAATATTAAAATTTGGAATTTTTTATAACAAAATATATGGTACCAAATATCATAACTAATTTTAATATACCAAAAACTAAACTGCTAAGGCGTTATAAGTTCTAGCATTTTTATTCAACATCTTCTTTTACGCATCACAAATATTCTCAATAATTTTGAAATCTTTTCTCACCTTAGTTCTTACCACAAAATAAAAAGTTAAGCAGAACGATCACCCCTGCAGCAAATTACATCGCTGACGTCGAGTTCGTACACCTCAGTGACCTTCATTGTGTTATGATTTTGCTATGGAGTTTATAAAAACTTGTTTGCCATGACGTCAACGCACTTGTATTTTAATAATTATTATAACTACATATTTTTTACGATCTTTTAAGCTACTAACAATGAATATTGCTTAAATAGAGATAACTTAGTTCATACACGGCTCTACTAAATTTCCTTTTCTTTTTAATATAGGTACATTTTGATACTCTAAGCTTAATGTTGTTAGTAAATTAGGGCAGTCGATATTTCTTTTATTTTAATATTATAAAATAGATATTTAATTAGATAAAATCTTATAGAGTAACGATTTTACTGTGACATTTGTATTAATATTTTTTTAATATGCAGATAATTATCATGAATTTGTCCATTTGAGCCTCTTTTCGACTAAGAACAGTCTAATCTGCATTCTGTTTGATTAATTGAAGTAGATAGTGATATTAATTGATCGATTAGTTGATTTTAAATTAAAATTTCATGTTAATTAACAAAATATATAGAAATATCTTTGTATTCGTTCAGCCTATTTTAACGTCTCACTACTACGGGACTCCCTTTAATTTGAAGGGGTTCAGGCCATGGTCCACCACGCTGACAAGTGCAGATCGGTGGACTTTATGTCTTTTAAAAATTTGCTATGTTCTCTCAGATATGCAGGTTTCTTCACCATGTTTTTCTTTTCTGTTAGGCAAATGGTAATCGTGTTGATGTTGGTGTCCTTAATAGTGCACTAATTATAATTTTTTAACTTATAAAAACGTATAGACATTTCGCAATTAATAATTAAAATTACTTTTTCCTTTAGGAACAGAATTTTCTCTTGAAATTTGAACGGGACTTCCCTTGAGGGATATATATATATATATATACATATATATATATATATATATATATATATATAACCTATCCACTAAAACAAACGTGAAAACCAGTTTACCACAACCATTATTATTGGCGAAGTAATAAGAACTAATGTTCGCCCAGTGGTTGAAATTCTCTTCTCGTTGAACGTCTTTGCCTATTTATACATATACTAGCATTGCCCGCGGCTCCGCCCGCGTTCAGATGACCAAAAACTAAATTCTTAGGTGTTACATATTAGTATACTCTTACATTGCAGTTTTTGTATTTTTCCTCAGAAATAAGATATTTTCCCGCGGTAAAAAGTATCCTAGGATCGCGCGCTACATCGCCCGGTTTATATAGCTTGAGCAGGCGGTCGAGCGATGCGGGGCAGAGGGGATGGACTCGCCGTAGGCATCTCAATGCTCGCCAAGCATTAAAAATGTTTCGCTACTAATTACTTCTAACAACGATATCTCAAAAACTATTCATCTGATTGATTTAGTGTAAAGAGCAATTTTAATCTGCATTAAATGACTAAGCTAACTAAAATATTCATTTGGATAAGGATTAATACCGAACTAAAGAAAATAACTTTGAAAATAACGTAATGTTTTTAATTAAAAATGTTAACATAAAAGTGGTTATTGTAAGTCAACCGTAAGAGATAGAGATATGCTATCGCGGACTTTTTTGTAGCATTTTTATAGATTTTGAATTCTCTAGTACATTACTTAACTGTATCTTTGCTAGTTTTACGCGGCGTTCGCGTGGAAAGTTCCCATTTGGCGAGATTTTTTGCGACCTCTTCAACATTTGTCGCCGTATTTCAGCTAATTTACATAAAAGCATAATAAATTATATACCTAAACCTTCCTCAAGAATTACTCTTTCTATTGTTGAAAACCGTATAAAAATCCGTTCAGTAGTTTTCGAGTGTATCGCGTACAGACAGACAGGAGGACAGAAAGACGCGGCCGGGGGACTTATTTTTATAATAAGTATAGATTAGCAAGTCAGCCTCAGTCCTCTCGGTTTCGTCCCTAGATACGTTTTAATGTTTAGTATAGATTTCTCAGAGATGAGATATTTTCCCGCAATAAAAACTATAACATATGTTGACTCGGATAACCAGCTATCATCATACCAAATTTCATCAAAATCTGTCCTGTGGTTTTCTCATGGTGCGTTACCAGATAGACAGCCAGACAGACAAAAATTCTAAAAACTATAGATTTTGCCTTTGTATCGATAATAATGACTATTTTAATAAGATTTTCCAAAATATATTTAACGTACAGATTCGATTTAGTTAGAATTTTAATATATATATATATAGATAGATACACAAAAATGAACATACCCACATAATACCTTCTCGTTTGAAATCGAATCAAATGGATACGTATATAATATAATAGAAAAATATTCTAAAAGTTTCACTTGATGAGCTGGGCCTTTATCCTATAATTTCATGTTCGCAGCCATATAAACTAGCCTTAATAAGAAGCTATATCTAATTACTTACAAGATATAATCAAGTAGATATCTGCTTAGGTCATATTAAGAGATGTTCGTATTCAATTTTCTCACGGAGCTAATGAACAGCTCTAAAATGTAGACTTGTAATTCTTTTTGCTTATTCTGCGGAAATATTACGGTAATTTATTTTAAGCATTGTTCTTGAGCTTAGCTTTTATTTCTTACGAAGACATATTATGTAAAATTTTGTGTTGTTTAAATCTTATTTTAAATACTGGCAACTAATACATGCTTTGCTCGGGGGCGTTTAAGTTTTTTCGAGCGGAGCCCTAATTCTTTTTTAAATTCTAAAATAAAATATAAGTATTTATATATGTGTAGCTAAGCAATGCCTTATAATATCAACTGTCTGCACGTGAAAATCCTGTCAAAATCAGTTCAGCCGTTTCTGATATTAGCCAAAACACAGACAGACAAAAAATTAAAAAATGTGTTTTTCTCATAAGTACCGTACATAATTTCATATGCATTTAGTAAAATATAAAAGCTGTTATTTTGTCATTACAAACAGACACTTCTATTTTATTTATCTGTATAGATGTAAGTTCTATTCATATGTTTTCCTCAAATTTTAAATAATAATTATAGTTGAGTGTCGACTATTCGGCGAATACTAGTTGTTATATGTATATAATTACGCAATAAAAATCAATATGTATCCTTTTACAATTAACGAATATTAAATAGAAATCCAAGGTCCCCGTATTTTATTATTGGGTACTTTAAAGTGTAAAATGAAATCGGAATAAAATATTTATATCCGACGTCCACCATCCGACCGCTAACAGTTTGTTCATTCAAGTTTTGCAACTACCGTACTGCATGAACTTAACAAAAATAAAAAACCGACTGCGTAAAAAGCGAAATAAAAAGATAAGAGCAAGTGGACGAAGGAACATAGTATTATGCAGTCGGAGATATACTCGTATAAGCTATTAGAAAAACTTAAAAAATAAACAAATAATAACCGACT